TATCAGCTAAACTTGCTATTGAAAGTAGTTAGATTATATAAGAAATTATGTGATCAATAAAACGTGGGGGAAAATGGAAAACTGTAGACACCAGAGATAGTGTGGGAGGAGGGTGGGAAAGGGCAGAGGGTCAAAAACAGGGGTTAAAAGAAAAAAATATACACATGAAATTATAAATGGAAAATTATTGACAATAACATGCATGATTAAGCAGTATATTCTGGATAAAAATCCCATTTTGTATGCTGTGACAATGCTTAGGGAGTGACTGTAAATTAATTAATTAAAAAAGGTCTCAGAAAAAAACAAGCTCATAGAAATACATGTAATGGGAAAACTAAGTATAAATTTCAAAAGTTTTTGTACCAAAATAAATTCATACTTTAATTGTAAATAAATAAATAAATAAATAAATAAAAAGCCTCCTCCTAATGTGTAAAACTCCTATTTTGGGGAAAAATTTCAATCTAGTAGTAGACCTAGAAATTAAATTAAAAGGAAACTGCTGTAAGCACCCTTGGGAATAAATTTGCTTTTTGGGGGGACCTCCATTCATTTAGCAAGTCTACATGGAACACCTATTTGTACAAGGGGCTCTAGGGACAGAGGAAGACAGGCAAGAAGTGGGGAAAACAGGAGAGTGATATTTCCTTATTTCCAGGTCTAGTGGTGAAGATACTGTCTTGCTACTGTTTAATAGTCCTAAAGTAACCACAGATTAGGAGACTATGCTGCGAGTGAAGAATCTGAGTGTGATTCTACTCCCCGGTGATCTCATTTATTTCTAAAGGATCCTACTTTCAAGACTTATTCAATGGTGATCTCATTTCCTTCTAAAGGATCCTACTTTCAAGACTTATTCATAAGCCATTCCTTTGAAAATATTAAGTTGTTGGAAAAATCATGACATATTTTCTTATATTTTCCTATGCAAAAAAAAAAATGCATCATGATTTTTCCTACAGCCCAATATTACTGGGTCATTATAAACAATGATTCTGGTATTTATAATGACTACCAAGAATATGTGCAAATACAAAGTTAGATAAATGTGAATCAGTAACATTTATACAGGAGATATGACACTGTCAAAGTTAAATTGAACAGCTTACCATTGACAGAAATTTCTTTTCTCCACTGGAAACTCTCATCAAGCATCTTCAGCGTTTCATCTATAACATTATGTCTCCAAGATAAGTAACTTTCAATCCAGTTATCATCTTGTTGTAGCCTTTCGATATCACGTGGGTCATATTTATCTGGCTTCTCTAGGGAAAAAAAAACAAAAAACAGTAAATATCCAAGTCAGGTTAATACTGAAGTGGAAAATAACGAACACCAATGCCAAAAAGAAAGGACCCAGAAGACAAAGCTAAGCTATTTGAAGATAGACACAATGATGCAGTTCAGATGAAAATGCAATTCAAAGGATTGAAGGAATATATAAATGTGGAAAAAAAAGTTATCTAAAGAGTACGGGTTTATTTTAAGTCACTGTCAATTTTAAAAATAAGATCATAGTGAAGTATTTGGCACAACATTCCAAAGGGTGTGTGCATATGCCAGAGAAAGAGCGAGAGAAAGAGCAGAGCGAGAGGAAGTATCTCTGTGGGTGTGGTCATGCTGCAATCCCTTCTCTCCTATTTCTCTATCTCATCAGTATCTGGGGCACAGGCATGTGCCCAGTGTGTTTCTCAAGCCACCAGAGTCAGGATTTGAACCATGATTGGCAATAAAGGATCCGGCGCCCTATGCAAAGGGCTTAACCTCTGTGCTATGGTGTTGGCCTGGCACAACCCTCTCTAAAACTATAACGTTATCTGAAATCGTTAACCTAGTCAATGAAAAAAAATGAAGAAATAGTTAAAGAAATATTTAAGTTGTACTTTAAAAGCATTTGTTTGGCAAGTGTCTTTTAAAAAACCATAAAGTAAATACAAAACAGAAAAACTCACCATGTACATAATATTATGGTGTTTGCTATTTTCAGAGCCTATGGCCAACATTACCAATGATTCATTGGGATAATTATTTCCAATGATGATACTTTCTCATCAGCTGCCTCCATATATGCTATATGCAGATCTTAGAGCCCTCTCCTCTTCCATGTCATGCTCTATTTTTCTGTAATTTAACTCTCCTTATCCCTGTACAACCATCTAAATTCTACCATTCTATATTGTTCTTTTTATTTATTTATTTATTTATTTTTGGAGCTATATTGTTCTTTCAAATGCTTTGTCTTTAATAAAATTTTCTGAGCCCAAAAGTAATTCCTTCCCTTCTGTGAATAGCTACAAGTCTTAAACTATGATTTTTTTAAAGTTTTATTATTTCAAATGGATGATAAAGACAGAGACACATACAGAAAAGTACCCCCAACAGGGTCTTTGTCCAGTAATCCATTCCTAGCTTCAGCCAGCTTGGACCCAGAGACACACATGTGCCTGCGGTTCAGGTAGGTCTCCAGACACAAACCTAGAACCTTGCCATGTGGGTCAGTCACAGAGCATTACATCACCACTGTGTGGCCCTGCGGCCCCTTGAACTGAGTCTTTCTTAAGGTTCTTAGCATTTATTTTTAACCTTGAGTCAATTTCTGGCATGCCTGCCATATTTCCCAAACAGACAGAAAAGACAGTGTCTACATATCCTAAAAATCCTTATGCAGATTACAGTGGTATCAATGAAAAGGCATTCAGTAAACATTTGTCAATGGAATCTATTCTTTCTCAGTTTTTTCTTTCTTTAGTTAATGAAAGTCTTCCAAGAGCTCAAGGGAAAACAACACAAAAAAACAAACTTCAGAAAATTCCCTGACTCCTTGGTTTCCTTTTCTTTTGCATCTAGTTAGTTACCAAATTCTACAGATTGTATTTCTTCTCCATTTACACTGACTTATTTTAAGTCCTCAGAGATAACAGCTGAGAGGGCAGGAAAATATAAAGTGTATTCAGAGAATTATCTTGAGTCTCAATTTCCTTATTTTTAAGTTGTTCTATACATGCACAGTGCCATGTGCAGATCAGATGATAAAATGTATAGGAACATACTTGGAAATTTAAACTATCATAAAATAAAAAGAGGATGTCATAAATCATGCATTTGTAGAGTACAACCTTGGATACAGCTTTTAACATCTGGGGCTTTGTCTTTCTAATTGATAATATGAGTGGATCTGTAGTCAGTATATCTTGAGAAATGTTTTTAGTAGCTCTGTTATTTAAAAAATCAGCAGTATTCAAAGCATAATTTTTCTTTAATTTTAAGTGGTATTTATAAGCAAAAGTTGGATATAAGAAAGTTTATACTATTTAGCAATGACACTGCCCCTGGGAATTTCTGTCCCCTGAAGAAGCAACATCCACTTGGGCCACTAGACCAATAAGGTGTTTTCCTTGAAATGTACAGACTGACTTCATCCACTTTCAAGAAAATTTTGGTCAAATACCCAGGTCCGCATAACTATAGTTACTTATCAGCTGTTCTTTTAAATAAAAATGGTGGTGTATGAAAGAGGTAACTAATTCAGCTGACAACTCAAGCATACATAGGAAGCAAAGTATTTTATGTGTACTCCCCCATTTTATCACACAGAACATTAAAAGGACATGAACTCAAGGGTCCAGACTTAATAAAAGTGACCGCTTCATCAGAGTCTTTCTAAATAAAATCGCCTCCTCGCCTTTTGAACAACTGAGTGTGATGACAGTGAAGACACATGTGTGCTAGCCTTGCTCAGGCGGAGAAGCCAGCAGTTTTACTTACTGTTATTGCATGTAAGCTGAGCAAACATCAGCACCGTGAAAAAAGGCAAATGGTATCTGAGAATTATTATGAAAATAGTTTTGACTCGAAGGCTTTCCAAAGGGTCTTGGGTGGAGCCGGCAGATGGTGTAGCAGTTATGTTGGACTCCCACATGGCCAACTGCAGTTTGAATCCTGGACCTGGTGGCTTGATACTCACGTCAGGCACGAGTGTGTGTGTGCCCAAGATCCCAGGAGGAGAATGGAGAAGGAAATGCTGTGTGGCCATCGCCCCTGGGGGGTAATTTCTCACTTTCCCTCTCACTGTCTTTCTTTCTCTCTCTGTCTCTCTGGCAAGCATATTCACCCTAAAGCAAAAATCTCTCAATAAATAAATAAATAAAAAAGCCTTGGGCATCCTCTAGTCCTTGGACTACACTCTGAAAAGTGATTATTTAGAATAATATTTGGCAAGAAGTGAAATCTCAGTAAATATTAGCCACAATAGGAAGAACAGAACTGTTGGGGGCCAGCAGGGGGTAAGGTGGTTAGGGCGCTGGACCCCCCAGATGGCCTACCACGATTCAAGTCCTGGACCTGGTGGCTTGCTTTCTCTCTCTCTCTCTCTGTCTTGCTCTGGTCAACTGAAAATAACTATAATTATAAATAAAATAAAAGAAATAATTAAAAAAAAGAAAATTACCATTGTTATCATTATTACTACCATTACTAGTTCTACCACTAGGGATACCAGAAACAAGACAGTGCCCAGTACTGAGAAATTTAAAGCCCAGTGCTCTTTGATAGTTTTGGGGAATGTAGATCTCTGAAATTAGAATCTCCACTTACATTAGCATGATTAATTATTATTATTAATAGATGTGTATTTACACATGAAATGCTGGCTATTAACCATTTAACTTTAGACAAATGAAATGAAATGGGGGCAGGAGACATAGAAGAGGAAAAAGAATGGAGAAAAGATCTATGGGGGCAGAGAGGTAGGAAGAAGATGGAGGCAGAAGGAGGTCACAGGACAAGGGGACAGGAAAGAGCTAGGGGAGGAGAAGGGAAGAGACAGAATGAGATAAAAAGAAAAGAAAGATGAGAGAGAAGACAGAAGAGGTAGAGAGATAAATAGAGAATAATCTGAGCATTCAAGGTAAGGAAACATGGTTTGAGACCATGAGGCCAATGGTAATAATTCACTGAGCGTATGACAACATAATTTGCTGCTTTCAAACATAGTTTCAGACCATGGAACCCTCACATGATGGGAAGTTTTCAGAAAACCAGTCCTTTGAGGGACCCAGCAGTTGGTGTAATGGCTATGTCGCTGGACTCCCATGTAGTCAACCGTGGTTCGAGTCCTGGACCAGGTGGCTTAAATTCACACCAGGCACGTGTGCATGCGTGCCCAAGATCCCGAGAAGAAAATGCAGAAGGGATTGCGGTGTGTCGGTGCTCCCTGGGGGGTGATTTCTCGCTTTCTGTCTCTCTGTCTTTCTGGTGAGCGCACGCACCCTATACCAAAAACCTCTCAAAACAAAACAAAACAAAAACAAAAACAAAACAAGTCCTTTGATATGTCCAAAATTTGCTATGTGTGAATGTGTCCCCTCCAAAATTCAGGTTCTCCCAATGTGACAGTATTAACAGGCAAGGCCTTGAGGAAGTAATTAGGCCATGACTGCTCTTCCCCCATTAATGGGATTAAGGCCCTATAAGAGAGGCTTTAGACAGAGTTAGTTAGCTTGTAGTGCTTTCTGCCATGAAAGAACAGGGCAAAAGGCCCTCACCTGGTACCAAATGCCAGTGCCTTCCTCTTCTGACTTCCCAGCCTCTAGAACCATGAGAAAATAAATTTCCATTCTTTATAAACCAGCCCGTCTCAGGTATGTTATTATAGCAACACAAAAATGGGCTAAGACAAGATGTTACAGGAAAGGTGGAAACTCAAAAGGTATCTGAAAATATAAAAACACATGTGCACACAAATACACACCTAGGAAATCATTTTGAAAAACTTTACCTATCTATGAAAGTGTAGAGATGAGGAAGAGTTTAGTTTTTATTAATTAATTAATTAATTAATTTTAATTTTGCTGTAGGGCACATACACTCACTGGAGAGACACAGAGACAGAGAGGGAGTGAGGGAAAGTGACAATTCACCCCTCCCCCCAATAAGGAGGTCCATGCCACCATCCCTTCTCCTTCAGTCTCCTCTTGGGATTTTGTGCATAGTCACACAAATACTGGTCTGATTTTCTTTCATTTCTTATTTTAAAAATTTTATTATTATTATTATTTTAGGTATTTGCCATAGGGTGCATGTGCTTGACAGAGACAGGAAGAGCTTGTGAGAGGGAAAGGGATAAATCATGCGTGCATGCATGGTTGGTGTGATTTCATGTGTGATTTTTTTAAGTCACCAGGTCTGGGACTGGGACTTGAACTGTACCACCTTAACCTCCACACCACTTGCTGGTTCCTTAACAATTTTTTTTGATTTTTTTTTT